GGGGGGATCACGATTGGAGGGTGATGAAAACTAGAGTTTGTTTTAAGAATTTCTTTTTCGATATTTTTAATATGTTGATGTTTGTGCACCAAATTGTATATTTGATTTTTTCTTTTTGAAGAATGTTCTCATTTTATCATTAATTTCTTCAAACCTACTAGGTGCACTAATTTACCTTCAATCTCTTTTGAGGAAATGAAAAAGAGAATTAAGGCCACTAATATTCAAATGTTTATCATTATACTATAAATGAAATTCTCAAAAGGTAATATAAGGTTAGTATGTTAGAGAACTCTATAAATTGAAATATCTCGGATAATGTATATATTTCTTTATCTACCAAAAGATTCATTATTAGAGGGTGGATTGTCTATTTTAATTCCTCATGAAGGTTGTCTTTTTGCAGGTTCAAGATGGTTCAAACTCTTTTGAGGATATATATAAATGTATGCCAAACTATCATTCTTTTTCTCTGTAATTGACTGCTTTGTTTATGCTCTATAATCTTTTAAACTATAAACAAACACGGTATCTGCAATTGCCAATGATTTATGCGTCAAATGAATTGATACTTTTAACGTAATAAGTTAGATTCTTTTTAAGATGTGAGCAAACATATTAGTTGCACATGTGAATGAGTTATGTGCCAGTTGAGTTGATGCATTACCTTAATCAGCTAAATCTTTTTGCAAACATATTATCTGCACATGTGAATGAGTTATGTGTCAATTGAGTTGATGCATTAACTTATTCAACTAGATCCTTTTTCTTACCACTAATTTTTTCAAGGAAAAGTGATGGGATGGTCATGGTACACCGCTTGAAGCATAAGTTGAAGAAATTAACTAAGAATATTGTTTATCCACGGTAAACCATGGAAAAATTATTTGTGAAATAATTTGAATGGTACAATTAGGAGGAAGAAACTATTTGGAGAAAGAAGTTGGTAATTTAAAATTGTCCTTTTTATCTGGCCTTAAATAAAAAAAGAAAAGAGGAAAGAGTATACACATAATGTACATCAAATGCTCCAGATAAATTTTTATTAAGGTTTTGTATTGGGTGATGCCTTTGTTAAACTATCCATATTAGCTGAATTGGTAGCCCTTTTCGTTTTTCATTGTGAGTATGATTTTTCTTGAAATTGTTGAAAATTATGATTATATATGAGTATGATTTTTCTTGAAATTCTTGAAAATTATGGTTATAGAATTAAACTTATGTCCAATCAATACATTGAAGTTCTGTTGGCAATAAAAGATATATGGCATTTGTGCTAAGCAAGTAAGCAACGTTACTTGAGGAAGTATAAATGCATTTATATTTGAAGTTAAAGCCTAGAAGCCAGCAGCATACTTTGCTAATAGTTTTGGACTGCTCATCCTATCCAGAACTCAACTGCAAGTAACTTCAGTATTCCATCTTCTTTCAAGAAAAGCAATTTTTGGCATCCATCTATGCGTCAGTTGTGTTTATAAGTTTCAAATATATTACTCCATCCGTTCCAATTTACGTGAATATGTTTGACTGGACACGGAGTTTAAGAAAAAATGAACACTTTTGGAATTTGTGGTCCTAAACAAGTCGAAAAGAGGTCCGGAGTATTTGTGTGGTTATAAAAGTTTCTCATTAAGGGTAGAATTGTAAGTTTAAGTTAAATTATTACCAAATTTAGAAAGAGGTCATTCTTTTTGGAACATCCCAAAAAAAAAAAAAAGTTCACATAAACGGGAACAAATGTAGTATTAAGTTGTCACGGTGATCCAAAATGAATAAGCCTCTTCTCCTTGATTTCCCATATTGTATGCTTCTGTGTTCAAGAATTTAGAACTGACATGTCTAAGGAAATTTAAAGAACAGGGGCATCAATATTGTCCAATTCTTTTCTTGTTCTTTCTTTCCTTCCTATAAAGTTTTGCACACATATATTATATGGACATTGACGCCTGGCAATTCTCATCACTTCACAATTCTACAGGTAGAGAGATGCAAAAAGGACGACTAAACACAATATCATCAATGCATCAAGCATCAAATTTTCTGAATATGTAATATATATATATATATA